TATGAGTTGTTAATTTCATGGAAGAGAAAGATAAAATATTTTAATTAATTAATTGAAGTGTCTCAAGTATTATACTTAATATGCTTAATATCAGATTATGCACCTGAACAGTAATTTTTACAAACCAGGGATGATCTTTACTAATTCACAGAAGACTATGCCTTCTGGCTTTTTAAGATGTGTTTTGGTTTAACCCAAATAAAACTGATGTTAACTGCAAGTACAGACATATTACCAAGGCCATTTGCTCATTGTAGAGGCAAAATGTAAGCTTTGTTCCTTTTCAAAGTATTAACTCACCTGAAACTCTGATCCTAGCCCTAAAAAACTATTCACTAATTCAGTTCTCATTTAAGTTTAACAACCAGGAATTAGAAAGAAAAAGAAACTTTGCCCCTTGATACAAATCCACCATATTTTCACTTTAAAAATCAGTATATAATTTTGCAATGCAATTCTCCAAAAATATATACCAAAATCCATATACCAGGGGATGATATATAGAAGAATGCATCTACAGCATTATGGATAAAAAACTACAAAAAAGCACCATAAAATAAAATAAATTATGTATTCAAACACATACTGTACATAGATACAGACACCAAAAATGTATATAAAATGTACATAAAGAGAACAAGTATGAAATATGTACAAATGTTAAAATGTACTTCTAAAAAATGATGCAAAATATATGGAAGAAATTAAGAAAGTGACATATTTTTCCATCCCTAGCAGCACTGGTTCACACTGGTAGTCCTTCCTGCATATCATCATATCACATGAAAGCTAATCTTTACCAAGATGATAATATTAATATAATATATTATTTATATTAATATAAATATCACGAACATTTGGTGAGAAAATCACCCCAAGGCACAACTGTAAATAGGCATATTTATTGAACTATTTGGAATATTTAATCCTGAAGTAAACCTCCTCTATACCTCTCTATCACCACCCCCCCACAAGCTTTTGGTGTGGTTCCCACAGACTTTCCATTGCCACCATACTTTATTTCTTAATATGAGACATGGAGGAAATTATTAAATACATAAAGAAAAAGCCTATTATTTATGTAACGTCTTCAATCACCCATCAAAAGAAGGTTATGTACTTTAAGGGCCACACAGACCTCTGAGTAGAATTCTATAGTGTTTTCACTGTCTATAATTTAAGAATGAGTGCTTCTTTCTCAAGAGATTATTGGGAATCACTATCAGTATGGGCTGAAATATTCCTCATGGTTATATTCTGCCAACTGCCGTGTCAAAATTTCACACACAACATCAAAGTATTAATGCATAAGAACACAGAAGCAAAACTGTTTTTTTCCAAAACACACCCATCAAATAAGGTGAGAACACTGCACACACAACTGCCTGTCTGCCAATGGGTGATCTGAGTGAACACAAAGCTTCTTGCCCTAATCAAGGCACACGCACACACAAAAAAATCAAGAATGATCAAAGGGGTTTTCTCAGCTTCTCTGGCAAAGAGTAATGTCATAAACAGCCTGCCATTTATCTTAGGTTCAACCAAGATCTAGATGTACCATGATGAAATATAGTTAATACTTAAGCTATAATGCTATTCCATGAGGTATAGAGTACTTACTGACTGTAATTTACAGCTTCATATGATATGATTTTTTTTTAAAGATCAGATCTCCATTGGCTCAAACATAGTCATACCTAGTCCTTGCTTAGATGAAATTACTTCAGTATTCATGTGTAGCCTATTGGATCTCCCCTTAGAGGCCAGTAATGAGTTTCAGCTTAGTCTCTCAAAGTTGATGCACTAGTTTCAAAAATCTGATAATGGGATAACTTGTATCTATTTCAGCTGGTTGAAAATGGGAGAGTTGATATGAAGCTTAATTTTTCCATAGAAACAGAGCATATTTAAAAATAGATTTGAGCACCACAGAATAAACCATCGACATGTCTTATACTATCTCCTTTTGGGTTTGCTTTTGTTTGTATTTTTAACTGATTTTTACTCTACATTTTAAATGAACATAAAAATGCAGTTACTTTATAAGTGATTGATCTCATTAACTCTATAAACCTCTAACACCTGGATTCAGGGGCACATTTTTCTCTCATTACATAGTATGAGCAATAGTTTGTGCCTTAGGGGAGCATAGCAGAATTGGGAATCCTCTCTGGAATTGCTCCATGACTATGGAGAGGGGATACATTTTACTGAAATATCATCACATCTGCATCTTCTTGGAAAGTTTGCACATTAACAAAAGGCCAGAAATCTTTTATTAAAAAGATGATGTGTCACCCCTGCAAAAGGTTCCCTCAGTATCCAAGCCAGTCCTAGCATAAGAGAAGGCCAGACATGGGGCAGAAAACAGCAAGACATCAGAAAGTAATTGCTGCCTTACAGACATCACCGGATGTCACCGGATCAGAGAGGTAGATGAGACCTTTCTGGAGATTGCATGGAGGGACCAAGTAAGGAGCAAGACATTTAAAGCAATTCAGAGGCACTGAGCTGAAGGAGAGTGCTGGCTCCAACTTCAGTGTTCTGATATTGCACAGAAAAGCAGGCAAGCAGGCAGGGAGCAGACAGAACTACAGCAAGAAGAGGCATCTCTAAATACAAATGCGTGACAGGTGGGCAGGCAACTGGAGGTCACTACCTGAAGATGCTCAGCTAACATCTAAAACTGTGCTTGCAAGACAGTAGTAAGGTGCTAAACCAACAGAATTAACCCATAATTATTCTATCCTCAAGAAGAGCAAGAAAAAATAAGCAGAACCAAAGAAGTGAGATTCACAGTAAAAATCTTTAAATCTCTAATAGGAATTAAGTCCCATTAAATTCAGTCGGACTTCTGGTAAATGGGTATATGATTGCACTCAGTCTCATAAATCTGAGAGCCTTTGAAGTGAGCAGTCCTGTAATGAAGTTAATTCCTCCAAAAAGCAGCAGCTAGAAGAGAGAACAGAGAGAGGGAAAAGAAAAGAGCCTAAATTTTAAAGAAGGGGAGGAGAGAAAAAACACATCCAACATGTGATCTCTGTCAGCAATATACTTTGTGGCTACCAATTTTTTTTTTTTAATATACACATTATTTTTTCACTGGAAAAGCACAATAAATCAAGTTATTTGACATTGTAATTTTTGGCAAGTTTTCCAGCAAAATTTCAGTCTGCCCACCACACTAAGATTCCACAGAGTTGTCTTTTACTTTATGTCTATATTGACTCCATAGAAATACTGTGGCCACACACTTATAAATGAAAACCTTAAATATTTAGAGAATAAAATAGGGTTCTTCCCACTTGCAAGTTATTATACTAATAGATAAAATAAATGCCTGGATATGGAAAGTAAAATCTGAAGTCAAAACTAAGTTACATAGTTTATAAATTACAACATTTCTTTAAAACAGACAATATAATGTCCGTGTACAGTGGACATTTTCATGTATCTCATATTGCAAAGTGATACTTCTAGAATTGATTTTGCTATCCATATAAATAGTTAAATAGTATAACATTTGCCTTAGAAGTCAAAATCATCTTCACCAAAAATATATCTTGCTGTAGAATCTAGATTAGCTGTGACTACGTTTTAAAATGTTCTGCATTTTATATCACTTAAATGGGTTCAAATTATAAGAAAGTTTTAGGCTAATGTTAGGAATGTTCTGCTGGTACATACTATTCTACAGTCTGTCTTGGGAGGGATGGTGTGCTCTCACTTCAGGATTTAAAGTAGAGATTCGATGGCAATCAATTCCTTCCTATCCTATGATTCCATGAACTTTTCCACTTCAAAGCTTTTCCTATTGCTTTTTCTCCGTTTCCCAAACAGGTACATCTACGACAACAAAGAGCTTTAGCGTTGTTATCTACATGGTGTGCAATAGAATCATAGTAATTTCAAACTTAAAATCAGAAGCTCTCAAACAGTAGCAATCTAGAGGGAGGTACTGCATTCTTCCAATGTTAATATAGTGTGCTAATATATGACCACAGCTGAAGGCCTTCAAAAAGTAGATCATAAGGATCATACCAAACATTATCCCAAAGTTGGAGGCAAGATAACTCTGCTAACGTGAAGAAAAGGCACTACTGTTAAAACAATAAGATACCTGGCTGTGCAAAAAGCAGTCAATTGTATCAATTAATCAACAGTGACTATGTTAAAAGAAAACAGCAACATCTATACTTAAAAATATTTCCTTTTTGAAGGCAAACTAATCATGGCTTTATTTGGGAAAACCTGTATATTTATATCAAAAGAAGAAGAAGAAGAAGAAGAAGAAGAAGAAGAAGAAGAAGAAGAAGAAGAAGAAGAAGAAGAA